ACTCTCGCTCACCAACACACACGCAGAGTGAAATCCTAGAAGGGCGAGCGGCGGACGGCTCTCATGTCCTGCTCCACTCGTCCTTGCTCTAATGGACGAATAAATTGCTCGTGAATGAAATGAGAGTACGCTGCCCGCTCTGCTTCTTCCTGCCGCCCCCGACCACCGCCTCCCCGCCCCCTGCGTGTGGGCGTGGCTGGAGACGACAACGCACTCATACGCAAAGCAAAGTAAACAGACAAACAACAAACTGGCAAACAGACTGACAAACAAACAAACAAACAAACGGAGAAACGGATGCCCGAGACACAAAACTAAAAACTAAAAGCGACATCCAGAAGTAGGGAATGAAATTGCTCTCGAAATCTTATTTTTTCGACCGGGAATGGGGGCAATATTGGTGATAAAATAAAATACGAGACGCGGGCCAAGACGATGACAGCATCGAGACAAGGATACTACGGATACAGATAGCCAGGGCGAGTCCTATCTGCCCCTCGATTCGGGGCCACAAAAATTTATGTTTTAGTTAATACACCCTAAGACCCAAAAGGGTTCTAATCGCTTGTAAAAGGTTCTTGTGGGGGCAGTGAAGGGAATTAATGCATATGGTCGTGGTTAATTTAGTGAAATGTGGCGCTTAAGGAAAAAAATACTAGAAAAATACGAGTTGGGTTTTGAGGTTAAAAAGTATTTTTATTATTATACTTAAAAAATAAGCGGAGTGTATAAATAAAATTGTACAAAAGAGGTTCACAAAATAGGAAAATACTTTACTTTATGCGGCAAAGGTTTCTAAAGATATCAAAGAATTAACTTTCTTGTTTTTCCTGGAATATTTAAACTCTCGAATGGGCGACTGCTTGTTGTGCTAGCATCATTTTTAAAGAGCATTGCAAAGGGTTCGGCTTGCCATTTTTTCCCTCTAGGAGTTCGGAACCCCCTCAATTCTCATTGTCCCTACTGACACAGCCAGACTTTGGGACCGGCGCTCTTAGCTCCCATATTCCAACTTCCAACTGCCGGCACCGGCACCCTTAACCCCTCATTGCCCCCGTTCTGGGTTTCTGCAGCAAGAACAACCGATAGCAGCCAGAGACAGACACATGGCCATCGAGTATGTAGGTCAGGCGAGTGTTCGGGGCTTTTATGAATTGCCAGCAGCTGACTTGACTTGATGGCAGCAGATTTTGGTTTTCATTTTGCAGCCAAAAAGCCAAAGCCAAGACGACTAAAAATCAATAACTGTCCGCAAGGACACCGAAATGGGCGCCCAAGTGGGTGGATTGTTCGCTGATAAAACTGCGACAAAAAGATTTCAAATTAAGCGACAGGACGCGAAGGAAAACAAAACAAAAGTGATATCGAACACGGAGGAGCCAAACGCGAAATTCGAAGGAAGCAGTAGACAAGTCGAGCAATAAAGCAATTAGCAACCGACAAGGGAGATAATACAACTAATTAAAAGTAAAAGTTATGCGTCAGCGAATGAGATTTTTATTGAGAACACAAAAGGACCTTGAGCTGAATAGGGGGAGGGGCAGTGGGCGTGGCAGCTGATATATAGCCACCCCGGGTGGGAGTATTAAAATGCTGTTAACCCAAACAACCATCGTATACCCCACCTTTATCTCGGCCTAAATTATGAGGTTATAATTCACAATTAAGCAAACGCAAGCATAAAACATAAGCACATGACATAATTATGCTCAGCTCTTTCGGATTTATATGTAGTGTGCCGAAACTAAGGCGAAATTGTGAGGATAGCACAAGGATCTTGGGAAATGCGGACGACACTCCGCCACTGTTGTTTTGCCCCATTGTGACCTCATCAGATTGCCGAGCTCGGTAGGAGATTCAAATCAAATTAATGAATGACTTTTGCACCTTCGAGTAGAGCAGAGAGGAGTGGACAAGGTTGTTTGAGTGTTATTTTGAAGTAGACCGAAATAATTAAGTGACAGAAGTTCGGTGGCTATTTATTTGTCCGAGTTTTAGAGACTCTCTTTAAATGCATTTCATTTTGTCTGGCTAAAAATAATACTGAAATGTAGGCTTTTGTGAAGCACGAATTGAATTCAAATAGAGTAAGGTAATTATAAATAGTTAGTTTATCAATTGATTTTTTAGTAACTAAATAAATAATAAACTCACTTTTATTTTACAGCTTAAAGTGGTTAGGTATTATCATTTTGCCTTAAATACTAACATTATATTATTATAATTTCTTAAAACGCACTCAACATTATTTTCCCGCATAAGTTAAACCTAATTCTTGGTCGCCTTCAGCTGAAATGTTGTATACTACAGACCACAAATTCTGTCATTTAATTGCGTAATTGCAGAACTTAGCTGAAGAGATTGTTGAACCGTAATTGTAATTATTCGACTATAGCCGTCATCCTCTGTAATTGTCCTGTTTATTTGCGTAGGAGACCCAGTTTTGTTTGACTTAATTTGTGTCACCCAAATATTGTACTTAATTTAGTATTTCTATGCTGATAAAATAAAAAGCTTTTAATTTCGGCAATTTATTAATGAGCTTTTACCATAGAAATAGCATTAATTTATTCGCTATCTATTATTCGTATGTGTTTGTCGCAGCGAGTGTGTTATTATTTATTGCTAAAATGCATTAAAATTGGGACACTCGGCGGGTGGGCAGATTATTTATTTGGTTGCTGTTGGCTGCCATTAACTGACAAATTTTCACTAATTGCATTGCATTAATAAACTGAAGTAAGGCAAACATAAACGGCGTAAAAATCAACTGGGAAAAAATACACGTCCGTGGCTGTGAATTATTGCCGATGATGGAAACTGCCGTCTAATTGCAACTGCAATGCCGAAAGCGACTGCGTTCGAGGAATGCAGGAACAACAAATCAAAGGAATACCAATTCATCGACGACTGTCTGCGTATGCCATAAATATGCATCAATGCCATGCCACACCCCCTTTGTAGCATTATAGCGCCGCCCCTTGCAGGCATTATAATTTAAATGGACTTTGGAAAAAGCAATTATATGAAATTAAATTTTGTGTGTGTGTCTCTTAATCCTGCACTGAGCTGCATGCATAGTTCATGTTATCCTGTTGCGAAGAGTACGCCAACTGGACCAAAATGGGTGTGGTCAGCACCCCAAACTCTTATCCGGAACCCCGCTTTCATCCACTCAATGCAAAAGTGCGTGCCAACACCTCGACAGGACAGGAAGGATAAACAGGAACAGGAGCCGCTCGGTTGAAAAAGGGAAGGGCAATGGGGATAACATTGCGTAATAACATTGCGTGTGGCTACACAGGGGAAAAATGTCATTCCAAAATGCTTTAAATTCGTTTCAAAAAAATGTTAAAGCCAAATATTCATTCCATTTTAAATTTAATGTACTATTTATTGACACTATCTACAATATTAAAACATTTTAATATATTTAATTACTCCTCCCCTTAAAATATGAATTTTAATGTACAGGAACTATTTTCAATGTCATTTTAAATTTATCCTTTATTATTAAGGGCTCCAAATATTTTTAAATATTATTAAAAGGTATAGTTCAGACTTTTAAATATTTTTTATTATTATTCTTCCTTTTTTCCCTGTGCAAGTGTGTGTTTGTTGGGCACTTTTCATATGAATATGAATTGCTTGCGGTTGCATCAAGTGGCACGCGAAATGCACTCAAAGTGCATTCAAACACCCTCGCCACACAGACACAAAGCGACTCGCAGACAGAGAGCAGACTTCATTTGTGTACGGGTTCAGTTATCGTGTGTTTATTATTATTATACTACTGATGACCATCTCATCCGTGTATTTGATTAATAACACTGTGCAGCATTTTTAGTGCTTTTTAAATTTACCTCGATGGATGCTATATTTTTGGATTCGTTACGAATTCCCAAGTTAAACTGCGTTTTCCAAAAGTTCCCCGACGCAAGGATTCTTAGCAAAAGGACCTCAAAGTTCGAAAAATGCTGAAATTGGCCAACTTTGCGGAGCTCTCAGAGGCAAATGGATGCATGGATTGATTCGATGTTAAAGTTTTTTAAAAGATACGCCCTTTATCTTTTAAACCCCATACTTAAAAAATTTTTAGGATTTTTTTGAAGGCAGAAACAAATTCTAGAAAACATAGTCAAAAAACATAAAGTATACAGCTGCGGTCAAAATGGTAGTAGTGTTGCCGCCCTGTGTATTTAAAAGTTTGTTGTTGTAATTGATCTTTTCCTGGTAATATTGTATTGATTATAATTTTACTATTAGACTAATTGGATAAGAAAAAATTACAACATCAAACTTTTAAAAACACAAGGCGGCAACACTGCTACTATTTTTACCGCAGCTGTATGTTTTTCAGTTTTTTGACTATGTTTTTTGGAATTTATTTCTGCCTTAAAAAAAATCCTAAAATTATTTTATGTATGGGGTTTGAAAGATAAAGGGTGTATCTTTTAAAAAACTTTAACTTCGAACCAAGCCATGCATCCATTTGCCTCTGAGAGCTCCGCAAAGTTGGTCAATTTCAGCACTTTTCGAACTTTGAGGTCCTTTTTCTAAGAATCCTTGCGTCGGGGAACTCTTTGGAAAACGCAGTTTAACTTGGGAATTCGTAACGAATCCAAAAATATAGCATTCATCGAGGTTAATTTTTGATGCTGCATAGTGTAATAGGAACTACCACAAACTAAAGATTTGATTCGGTTTTATTTTATGGTGAATAAATATTAATTGAATGTGGTAGTAATTTATTTAATTGAATCCCCCAAACTAAAGCTTATTCTATAAAAAAGTAGTTTGTATGGATTAATTTGTTAAATCAAAAGAATATATTTTATTCGGAAAAAAAACGCTGAATTTTCTTTGTGGTTTTTTATTTTGCTAGTCGAGTTCTGCATTCCTCAGTTAAATTCCCATTTTACCCACATTGACGCATATGAAATGAAAATGCTTTGAGGATTTCAATTTTTGAAATAAATTTGTTTATTATTGTTGCTTGACTTCATATTGTTTTGTTTCTTTTTTTGACTTCATTAAGTCTATTTTTCGTCTCCCTTCGTTCGCTTGTTCAGTTAGTTTTGCGATTATTTAAAATAAATTTCCACTTACATACTAAAAAATGGGCCATGTTCATTTTAAACAAAAATTGTCAATTGAGAAATATATTTTCACACATTCCTGCCTCGGCTTAATATTTCGTATATATTAATGTTTACATAGAAATCGACATTAATTTGCATAAGTGGCATTTAGGAACACAAAAATCTTATAAAGTATTTTATTCATATTTATCGGTATTCTGTCACTTTTTCTGCTGGTCTAACATCGTTGCATTGGTTTTTCGTGAGTGATCGGGAATGAAATGTGTTTAAAAAATGAGTAAACGTGATTTGAAATGTTCAAACTTTAAAATGTAATATTTTGTTTTTCATCATGTGAATTCTATAAAATGGAGATTTAAAATTGGGTTTAATTGGTTTTAAGTGAAATTTTATTTCGAATGGTAATTTATTACCACTGGATGTTCTTGCTTATTAAATTTATCTAAAACTTTTGCGAGTAACTTTTGCTTTATTTTGGTTTTGCAGGGAGCTTTTGACGGTTTCTGTACAAAACTAGGACTAAACGAAATGTCGAATACATCTGTTCTTGTAGCTTGTTCAGTTTTTAGTTTATAATTATAATGCTTATTGAATATTTATTAGTAGTATCTCAATTGTTTTAGGCCATTTGCTTTGCTGTTGTTTTTTGTGTTTTTTCGTTATTTTTTTAGTAAATTCATCTGGGATCAATTTTTGTTGTATTTAGTTCATGAAACTTCTTATTTATTGTATACATTCATATAAGTATTTATATATGTACATTTCGCAGGCAGACATGCGAACATATTATTTATTCATGTATGTTTTATTTGTTGTTTGCATAACGGAAAAAATGTAAAATAATAATAATGCTCCCATCCCGATTACCGCCGCTGCTTCTGCCCCTCTTTCAATCAATACGCTTCTGTTGTTCTTATTTGCTCTTTTGTTATTTTAATGGCATGCCATTAAATAATTTCATTAAATGTTTTGTATGAGCAGCGAACAACGTTTCAGCAAAAAAGCCGAAAGTATGCTCAATTGATTGTTTGTTTTGTTTTATTTTTCTTGTTCTGACAGTTTCTTTAACCAATTAATTCGGCACGCGGAAAAGTAATCAAATAAAAAATTAAAATGCATAAATAGTAAATATGCTTTTGAAATTAATATCAAGTGCATATCAAGGAAGGAAACAAGGATTGAAATGGTGGTAAAAAGGTAGAAATAAGCGGACTTGTCAATCTAATATTTATTTTAGGTATCGCGATATAAAGATATTATCAAGATCCTTTTGTCTGTTCAATGAGTTGAAAACCAATAATTGCATTTAGGAAAAACTATGGAATTAATTTATAGTCAAAGGGAAACATACAAAAAGGAAATACTAGCAAAAAACATTTTTAATTTGAAAAGGAAATAATGGAAAAGTCGTTGTAAATCGTAATTGCTCGGCAGACATTCCTATAAATCGCCTAGCCAAGCCTGCTTTTTATGCGGAATGCCACTGATGCTATTTAAATGAAAAAATGCGAAAGCATTAAGCCCGAAACTGCACTGCGTTTTATTCATATTTTCCGATCGGGTTTCGTTTGGGAGCTTAATTGTTATCAACGGCAGCTTCATCGGTCGGTCGGCTCATCATTATCGCATTTCCAGGGCCGGAATATATATGCGATTGGGCGTGAGGGGGGGATATGATTTACTATAATTTTATTTTCAATTCGTTGAATGTCAGCTATTAATATTATTATTACGCGTATTTATTTTCTCTGTGTATGTGTGTTTTCATCGCAGTTATTATTATGACTTTTTATTGTTTGCTGCGTTTTTCGCGCGCTCTGTGGGTGCGAATTTTCGCTCTGTTTCTGCTCCTTTTGCATGTTTACCAATGGCATTGTTTGATGTTTATCGTACAATTTCCTTACATGCTAATTAATTTTCCTGGCTATCTGATGGCGGTGGAGGGGGCGGGGGAAAGTCTGGGGAAAGTGGAAAATGATTGGGATTCTTTCATCGTTTTTTGCTTCTTTGTCACACATTTATTTTATTCAACATGGTTTTTCTTATATTTGCGGTAGCTAATGTAATATTAAATAAATTAAAGGTATTATATATTTATAATTATGTACAGGCCCTTACATAAAAACCGTTTTGTGTCTTTTTTACAATGGTTGTTAAATTGAAATCTCATTTTAAGGTATAGTTTCTCTATTTACAGGGTAATAAACATTAATTTATTTAAAGAACTAAAAGTATCAGTCTGTTTGAACCATCCCAAAAAGTATGCTATGCCTGCCACTTTTCGTGTAATCTTTTTTAAATTTATAGTTAATGCTTTATGTTTAGTTAAGGGTTTTCTTTAAGTTTTTATAAATTCACTGGTTGCGCAGTCTGTCTCCTGCTGTTTTCTCTTAACCCCCCGATAGATTTAACCCCGTTACGCCCACAGGTTCTTTTGCTGATCCTGGTCCTCGTCCTCGTCGTCGTCGTTCAGACTCAAGTTCGACTCGTAGTGGGTGAGTTCCGGCTGCCGGCTGTTGTTGCTGCTGCTGCTCATGGTGACGCTGCTCTGGGTGCCGCTTTCCAGGAGATTCACCCCAATGCCGCCTCCCCCGCCGCAGCTGCAGAGCAGATCCTCGTCGCCGATGCAGTTGCAGGACTTTTTGCAGTTGTACGAGGCTCCGCCGGGCGGCACAAAGTTCGAGCTGAAGCTGGCTGGGAGTCCGGCGACGGAGCTTTTAACCTGGCCCACCCTCTTGTTGGTGCCGCCCAGATTGGAGCACTCGCAGTTGGCGCTGTTCCGCAGCTGCTGCTTGGCATAGTCCACGCTGTCGTAGGCGGGAGCTGCAGAACTTGGAAGGTAGCTGGGCACCGCGTACTCGTGCTGACTCCTCCGGTTCGCCGGATGGCCATGATGCTGGTGCTCCAGGGTCTTGGCATGGCCCATGTCCCGCTGCTGCTTCTTGGACAGCTGGTTCATGGTGTTGAACTTGCAGGCGGCCGCCGCAGCCGAGGCCGAGGTGGGTATGGGTTTGTAGCCCCTGCCGCCGCCAACTGCTCCTCCAGTGGCGCCACACTCGTTGATGGTGGCATAGTTGTTGCTGCCACAGTCCGCATAACGGGCACTGGGCGGCGGATTGCCGGCCTGATACTCATGACTCGTGGCGTACATGTTTACTGAAGGTGTGCGGGCTGATAGGCAACCGGAGACCACCCTCTTGTTATTATTACCACGACCGTTTGGCAGAGGCAAGGCCAATCGCAGCTTCTGCCAGAACTTCTTGTCGTCCCACTCGATGCAGGTGCTCGTCCGCAGATAGTGCCGCATGTCCATGTCGATGTCTCGCTGGGGCAGATCCCCGTACAGGATAAAGACCACCCGCTTCCTGCGCTTCACCAGCTCGTGCAGGGCGCTCTTGTACTCGAAGCGACTCCACTCGTTGTACAGGAAGTTCTTGGACAGCACCAGCACGAACTGCTTGGCACTTTCGGCGGCCTCAATCAAGGCATCCGTGATATAGGCATTGATGTTCACATCCCTATAGTGCAGGCACAACCGGTAGCCAATGTCATTCTCCAGGGTCTGAGCCAAGATCTGGTTGACAAAGTGCTCGTCCTGCAGGCTGTAGGCAAAGTAGGCATCGTTGGGCCGCTCCTTGTCCAGCTGGTCCACAAAGCGCGGCGACTTGTAGCAGAAGTTCATCAGGCAGCTGGTCGAGTGGGCCCACATCTTCAGCTCGTGACGGTAGCAGAAGAGTCCAAAGATCAGGCCGAAGAAGGCCACGAAGGCGCAGGTGGCCACCAGGAGCAGCGGCAGCAGACCCTCGATCTCGTTGGTGTGCATATAGTGGGCCACCCCATCCCTCAAAGTGCACTTGGTGCCGTTCTTCTCCCTCAGCACACTGGTGGCATTGTTGTAGATGCAGCTCACCCGCGAGGCGTCCACGATCTTCTCGGAGCTCTGGCCCAGATAGTTCCTGAACCTGGCCAGGTAGCCGCACTCGCAGCTCCACTGGTTGTCCGCCAGGCTGATCTCCACCAGGTAGGGATTGGCGCTCAGCTGCCAGACCTCGAAGTGCATCAGTCGATTGCCGTCGAGGCGCAGGACCTCCAGCTTCCGCAGCATCTGGAAGCTGCCGTTCGCAATGCTGGCTATCTTGTTGGATTGCAGGTACAGCTCACGGAGGTTCTCCAGATTGTGGAACTCGTTGCCCTCCAGGCTCACGATGTGGTTGTCCTCCAAATGCAGAATCAACAGGCGCTTTAGCCCACTGAAGGTGGTGTTGTAGATGTGGGCCACATTCGAGTTGTTGGCATAGAGCACTGCCAGGTTTTTGCGACCCAGGAAGGAGTGCCCGGCCAGCTCCACAAAATTATTGCCATCTATATACAACTCGGTGGTGTCCATGGGCACGCGGCGCGGCATCTCGGAGTAGGCGGCTCCGGAGCACTCGACGATATTGGTGGACCAGGTTTGGTCGTGGAAACAGGTGCAGTTCGTGGGGCAGGTCATCTCGCAGTCGCAGGCATCGAACTCGCAGCAGTGGCAAACGGCGAAGCAGTGCGTCTTGTAGGTGCACAGAAAGTGCTTGGGCTCAGCCTCGATTAATGGAATATAAGCCCTCTCCCTGTTGTTCAGCAACTTGCAATATATCGTCTCCAGATCCATTATCCTGGGGTACTGACGCGACGTTATGTGGTTGATCTTCTGCAGCCAGTCGATGTTGCAGTCGCAGGTGAAGGGATTTCCCCCGATATAAAACTCCGGCAGAGCGCGATGCTCCCAAACGGGCAGAATCCTCAGGGACTTGATATCCAGCGTGGTTATCTGGTTAGCATAGAGATCCACTCGGGTCAGGTTAGTCTTGTGCATAAAGGTATCGGGATCCACAGTGGTTATCAGGTTGTCATTGAGAAACAACAGTTCTATGGAATTGGGTATGGAATTTGGTCCAATGCGCTGCAGCTGGTTGAAGCTCACGTCCAGGGTTTGCAGCCTCAGTTCAGCATCCAAACCAAATCGGTTGGACAGGGAACTCAGGCGGTTCTTGTGCAGATCCAGCCACTGCAGGGTGGATGGAACATGCCCATAGTCGAAGGACTCCAGGCGATTATCGGAGATATTTAGCCAGAGCAGCGAGGGCATATTATTAAACAATCCATTGATGTCACTCAACTCATTGCCATCCAAACGCACAGCTTGAATACTGGAGGTCATCTCGAAGGCACCTGGTTCTACGACAGCTATGCGATTCCTGGCCAGATTCAGGATCTGCAGGCTGGGCAGGTCCTTGAACGTGTTCATGGTGATGTTCTCCAGGTAGTTTCCAATCAGGCGGAGACCGTAGAGATTTCCCAGCCCCTTAAAAGCACTGTCCTCCATCACGGTAATCATGTTCTCGCCGAGGTCCACGGTACGCAGATGCCGCATATTCCTGAGGGCCAGCGGCACCGTCTTCAGCTGATTGCCATTCAGATTGAGGTCCTGCAGGGCACTGCAGTTCCGGAAGGCATCCGGATGCACGCCAATCAGCGCATTGTTGTCCAGCGAAAGCAGCGACAGGACATACAACCCATTCAGAGCATATGCATCCAGATATTTGAGTTTATTGTGGGAAAGCAGCAATGTGTGGAGATTGTTCATGGGTGCAAAAGTATCTGCGGCAATATTCTCCAGCTGATTGTGACGTAGGTTCAGAATCTGCAGGGTGTATAAATCACTAAAGATCTCCGGTTCCAGTTTGGTCAGCTTATTATGCGATAAATTCAAGAGAACCAATCGTATCAGTCCCACAAAAGTGTTCTTGTCGATCCACGTGGAGGTTATCTGGTTCATCGAGAGATCCAAGGCCTGCAGCTGGTCGAGATTCGAGAAGAGCTGCGGATTCAGCACACTAATAGAGTTATTCTGCAGATACACCTCCTGGATAATCTTGGCCTGCTCGGCAAAGAGTTCGGTGGGCAGGGCCACAATTTTGTTGGAGCTCAGATTCAGGATCTGCAGGTTCTTCAGGCCACTGAGCGCCTTGTCGGCAATCATGGAGATGCCATTGTTGTTCACCGACAGGACTCGCAGGCGCCTCAAAGTTCCAAAGCCATTGGCTGGCAGGACCACGAAGTCGTTGTGGCTCACATCCAGATACTCCAGATCCAGCGAGCAGCTGGCACTGCTAGGAGAACCCTTCCTGTTCGATTCGGTGGTGGAGGTGGACTCGGTGGAACCCGAGGTAACCGGCTCCTTGCTGCGATCCCTGAAGCCCAGCTCATTGACATCCTGCAGGCGGTTCTCACTCATATTCAGGGCCGACAGCTCGGACAGGGTGCAGAATATATTATCCGGCAGGGACCAGATGTTGTTCGAACTGAGATCCAGTCGCTCCAGTCGGCGGGTGACCAGAAAGGCGTCCGCTTCGATTTCAAAGTTCAGCGCGGGCCACAGGATGTTGTGGGTCCTCAAAGTGAGATTCCTCAGCTGCTCCAGGCCATCGAGGACCTGGCGACCCAGCCGCCCCAGCTTGCAGTACTGAATCGACAGCTGCTGGAGCCTGGCCAAGTGGGCAAAGGACTGGGCCTCCAGGCGACTCTTGGCCATGATTTCGTCGTTGCACAGGATGTGCAGGGCCACCGTGTGCTCCGCGGGGATTACACTGAAGTTCGTGGTGTCGAACTCGCTGTTTACGGTCCTCAGATTGCAGGTGAGAGCAATCTCCGGCTGGTCCAGACCCGCGGCCGGCATAAAGTGGCAGTCGTCGGGGGCGTCGTAAAGCGAGGGGTCTCCCGCTCCACCGACGCCCGCGGTCAGGGGTCGCAGGGTTCTGGCCGGGATCGAGGGCTGCATCAGCTGGGTATTGGACACACCAGCCTCGCCCATTATCGCATTCGAGTGGGACAGCTGCTGGTGTTTGCTGGACAGCGATTCCGTGGTTTGCTGCTGATCCTGGGCCAAAACCACTGGCAGTATGAGTAGCATGTAATAGATCATTTTGGTGATTTTTATTTGGTTTGGTCACCAGAAGAGGAGGTTTTTGCTTTAGGGGGAAAGGGGGGATAGGTTCTGGGAGAAACGAAAAGAAAATCAATTCCACTGGCCGGCCAAAGAAAAGTCTGCGCACATATTTTCGGCTTCTGTGTGCTGCCTCCACTTCAAGCCAGATTTTCTTTATTTTCCTTAGTTAATTATGCTCTCCGTGCTTTTCGCTTCTCTCCTACACCCGGCACATTTTCTAGCACTTTTTGGTGTTGAGCTTGGGTTTTTCGTATTTAAATTTTTATTTATTCGCTTTCGAAGGTTTTTGTTTATTACACGTCGCGTTGTAGGAACCTTGGATGAATTTCAATTTAGCTGCGGGCGCGAATTCTAATATCACTATTTTTTATTTGCTTGAACCCACTTTTCCACGGGCCTGTGTGTGTTTCATGTGTGAGTGAGTGTGTGTGGGAAACTTGAGTGGTGCAGCGTCGATATTTTCCGGTTCGTAATGTAACGCGCACGTTGGCTGATTTTCGACTGACTGCCGCAACGTGCGCAACTTCTCTTTTAAATAGAGAGTCGTCCACGAACTCGAAACCCCGAAAATCCGAAAAGCCGAACTCGAGCCGAGCGCTGCTGGAAAAACGACGAAGAGAAGCCGACAGGCTCTGCACAGGCGGGAAATTCTCAGAGTTCTGCGGAGAGCATGACTAAAGGGAAATTCGCTCTGCCTCGACTCGTCGACGGATGCTGGAAAATGTTTTTCTTTCTCCCATCTAATCGCATCAAACAGCTGGCGTTCGTTCGTATTTTTCTTTGCTTTTTGTATTTTTCGTATTTCGTATATCCTTTATTTTTTTGCCGCCGAATCGGAGATATATCCCCGCACCCCCCGCTGCCAACCGGCGACTTCGGTGCTGTCTCTGTTTTGATAATGAAAATATATGATGTGCATGGGCCAGCGCCAATCTTCATACAAACGTAATTTATTTTTATGCCATGTGTGTGTGCGGTGTGTGTCGGTGTGCGTTGGAGGTCCTTTGCTGGCTGTTTTTGCTCCTGTTCCATGGGCCCATATAAAAATAATAATTCCTCACATTCCATTAAATTACAATAATAATTTTAATTAAACTGTTTTGTTTGCGCCTCATGTAGCAATTCCTGTGGTTTCATGACTTCTTTTTCGCCCAGCGAAACGGCAAAAAACTGTCTTCCCCATCAGGTTAATGATAATGATTATGGGCCAGCATTATGGGGTTTTTTGTTGGGCGCTGCATGTACGGGGATTTGGGATTTCACTTGGAAATCTAAAAAGTTAGGGAAGGTTTTGGATAGACTTGATTAGGTAAAAGTAGAAAAAATATTTGGCTTCTTTATAAAAGTTTAGTATACCATAATTTATTCATTTCTGACAAATATATTACGTTCTTTACATTTTGAAATTCTATGTTTTGGTTTCACTCATATCCTTTTTTCATACCTGCTCTTTCTTTGTGTTAACGAATATCTTTCTTTAGGTGAATCTATCCATCACTAAAATCTTCCAAGGGTTAATTTATAAAGGAGACCCTTCATTGTTCCTTATTTGGTTAACCTCTGCCTCGCATTATTTTGATTGTTCAATATTTGTGTGAAAGCAAAATTATTGATGGATCACCGCAACAACAAATTCAAAAGCGATTGCCATCGCATAGTAACCTTGATAAACTCCACGTCTTTCATGACTAATTCCCAAGAAAAACAGCTGCCCTGGGCACTTTATCTGTGGGTAATTTTCCTTAGCTGGCTTGAAAGTTTTCCCATATCCATGGGTATGTGGCCAAAGATATTTTTGTCGCCACTAAAAGCAAACACAAAAACATTTCAGCCAAATTGCGTCAGCCAACAGAACGCCTGCCCACCCACTTTGCGAGCTGGGCTAATGATTTGCCTAATGTTTCTAACAATTATGTGGCTTGGCCACACAAAAGAATATATTATGTAAGTTATTAAAATTATATCACCAGCAGCAGCAGCAGCGCCATGAACAGCAGCCAAGTCTAATAAGCCTGCTGCACGGTAGAAAACTAGTTTATTTTATTTTCCCCTTCTAAAGGATTTCAAAAAAATTTTTTTTAAATTACCGAACTTTTTTATTGATATATAAAATATAAAATGAGTTATTTGGTATTTCATTTAAATTTATTTGGTTTTAATTTTGCCGAAATATTTGTTGGTCCACCTACAGGATTACTTTAAAAATAAACCTAGTTTGGTTTGCTTGATTTTCCTTCAAAGCTTTTTTTTCTCACAGTGTGCCCCTTATTTTCCTCACCTTCAGGCTTTCGCAGGCTCTTTCAAATGTAAATGGCGGCAAGGACGAGGTTTTTGTGGCTCGCTTTCCTTTGTGTGGTGGCACATGCAACCAAGGAGGAATATTTCTTCGCCGGTCTCTTATTCTTTTTTCGGTGGTTATCAATTTGGTGAACGCTTCTGGCTTTTGTCCGTGGTCCTGGTCGCAGCTCCTTTATTTATGTGCCCCATAACGAAGGTTTCTTTCGCTTCTCTTTTTTTTTTTTTGGTAACACGAATGACAAGATTTTCATCAACGTCATTAATATTAACTTTTGCAATAATTCTCGAGCTGTGGAAAATTATGAGAAATGACCCACAAGATAAAACCAGAGGCTGGGGCAGAGCGGAGCCGAATCGGAGTCCACTTTTCGACAAAGCCATAACTCTCGGTGTGGAGATTGGATTGGTTTGCCGGTTATAGAGGATGTCCTTGCCTTGGTATTAGCCTGACGTCTGGGCGGCTTGCAAGTCAATCTTAATTGTGCCTCTGTGCTCTGGACTCGGCCTAATGACAGCATTTCGGATTACTTTCACTCAAAGCCAAGGGGAGAGCCAGAAAGAAAGGTTGCATATTTTATGGCGCCCAAGCAGCTTTGCGGATGCACTCAGAAAAATGAATATGTTGATCCAAAAAAAAATCGAGAGAACATTATATTTATTTATATGTAAAAGTTAATATATAAATTTTATTAAATATTAAAACTTTTTAATACATTCTGGTAAAATAGAGTATAATGTTTTCAAGTACTTTAAAGAATATAATTTTGATTTTATAATTTGTTTTCCCTAAATGTTACATAAAATGATTATTAAGCATTTAATTGAAAATCTAAAATCAACATTTAATACATTTATTATACCCGTTACTCGTAGAGTAAAAGGGTATATTAGATTCGTGCAAAAGTATGTAACAGGTAGAAGGAAGCGTTTCCGACCCTATAAACTATATATATTCTTGATCAGGATCACTAGCCGAGTCGATCTAGCCATGTCCGTCTGTCCGTCTGTCCGTCTGTCCGTCTGTCCGTCTGTCCGTCTGTCTGTCCGTCTGTCTGTCTGTATGAACGCTGAGATCTCGGAAACTATAAAAGCTAGAAGATTGACATTTTGCATGCAGATTGTAGGAGTTCCTACGCAGCGCAAGTTTGTTTCAAAAGGGTGCCACGCCCCTCTAACGCCCACAATCGCTTGTATACGATTTTAAAAATTTCAATATTTCGGAAAAGTAAAAATGCAGTTTTATTGTGTTTATCAATACCTATCGAAATGTAGAAGAAAGTTTTTAAATCGGACCATTCATTAAAAAGTTACGGCGGATCAAAGTTAAACCCACGAGTTAAGCCAATTATCTCCATCTCCTTCGCTCTCCCTTTAGCTGAGTAACGGGTATCTGATAGTCGGGGCACCCGACTATAGCGTTCTCTCTTGTTTTTCAATGTAGAGAGACGAGAGGCGGGGCCACAAAAATCACAATTAAATGTAACAATTGCGTCTCTGGGGGCCGCAGTTCTCGGTAACAAGAGCATCGGACTCGGTTCCCTCCTGTCAGTTGCTTGTCCGATGCCAGCTTAAATTGCCCATACACGTCACAGGCAAACACCACCCACCGCCCCACATCCTTCAACCCCCCCATGCCATTCTTCTTATCCCCACCCACTGAAATCACCCATTCCGCCATCCTTTTTGGCAGCTTTGGCTCGTCCTCGTTTGTCGTTTCTCTTTCACTCTGTTTGCGTTTATTAATTGTTGCCTTTATTTTGGCCTCATTTTATTTGATTTGGTTTTCCTTCGACTTTGCCGGCCTTCGCCTGCCTTTCTGAGCTCCTTTTGTTTTCACTAGCAGCAGCTATAAAGCCAAACCTAATTGACTTATCTTGCCATGGGTTTGCTAATTTCTCGGCCATTGTGTCTCGCTGGCTCGGAGCTTCTTTGGGCCATAAAAATGGCCAGATAGCCACAGAGCCTGGCCAGATAGGATAAGTCAGTCAGTGAGCCATTTCAGGCGGCTCAGACAGGCGGATAGGAATCTTCAGCGCACTAATTAGCAATTGACATGAATTGCTCATTAGCAGCAAACTAAAGCTAAAAATTTTCCTAGGCTATCTGTCCAACTAGTCGGGGATCTGTATCCAAAAGATACGGACAGGATAAAAAGTGTCTGTCATTGGGGGCGAGAGAAATGGGGGTACCCTAATCTCTGAGTACACTTGTAAAAAAATATCTAATGGAATATAATGGCAGTTGGCTGACACAAATCAAGTCGAGACTGTCAACGGTTTTCCCTTCGTTAAAAAAATAGATTTTTCGTATTTACACAGGGGACAAGACAATTGGATGGTCATTATACAGTCTACAAAAAATTAGCTTTAATATTCTTTAAAAAGTGAAATAGAAAGAAAATTCATCTACAAATGTGCAAAAAAGCGTTGCCTGAATGTTAGAATTGAATAGAAAAATTGTGAATTTAATTGAATAATAAATTAGTCTGCTCTTATACATTTTTAAATACTAAACCTCTTTTGATCTATTTAAATTTTGTAAATTTGTAAGCCAATTGGCCCAAATACTCTCAATATTTTGCTAGCCTTAACCACTCATAGATAGCACAACTAATTCAATTTTATCCACTAACTCGTCCTTCATTGAAAAGTAATAAAATGACACTCCTTACTTCAAATAAGCTTGCCCAAAAATGTCTTAGAATTTCAGTTGTAGCGATAAAGCTGAGGTAAATAATATTTAATAACCGGAAATTCCACAACTAACCCAATTTTTATTGGAAAATATCTTTCCACATGCCGAGCCCAGAAGGAGGCTGCGGTTTCGCCTCCCCGGCCACGTCGGCAAATATATTGCAACAAATCTTGAATGTAGCCTGACCAAAGTCCATAATGACAGTTGTGCCCAAAGAAAATTGCACAAGCCAAGGACGAATCGAAAAATGGGAGGAAAAGCGTGA